GGCTGCAAAGAGATAAATAGGTATATAAAAACACACACACACACACACGCACACACACACACACACAGTCTAACTGTCCCCACTGATCTAACAGACTGGTCTGGCTGGCATGTCAGGCTGCCTTTTAACTAACGTGTTTTACGTTGGTTTCTTTGAACAACAGTATTTTAGTAAGGACTACACTTTAACAGAAAGATAATGGGGCAGGGTGCACTGCACTGCAGAGTGTGCTGGAATGTGTGGGAGGGAGTAAATGAATGGGCAGATTTAAAAGGCGTGAGCAGCAAGAAATGTTTCAAATTTCAACGTCAAGAACTGCTTTACAACATACACATTATCAGTATCATTGCCCTCATGTTGACGAAGCAATCTGCCCACTCCACAAAACAAGTGCCTATGACGTGAATAGTTTCTGGGCTGAGCTTGTCGGACAAGTTTTACCAGGAGACAACAGTAACTACTGCACCGATATAATGGAAATAAGATGCTGCTGTTGTAGCAGTTCTGTCATCATGCAGTTGGATGACAGACATGCAGCCCGGTCTAGAAATACGACTTGTGGCAACTTATTGATTGAAATACAATAGGATTTTGTTTGTCTATAACTAAACCAACCAGACTACCAGACACTTACAAATGGCCTAAGTATATAGTAACATTTGCTCACAATTTTCCTTTCTGGACGTGTTGCATTGATTTATTGCATACAGTGTTAAAGAATGTATGGATATGTTCAAATGCAAAAAGCTACAGCTGTAATCCATTTTAGAATCCAACATTTTGTCTTTGTAACGTAGCTTTATTCCAGACTTTAATGTGGATTTCCCTTTGAAGTAGACCAACACTTACTTGTGTACATTGTTGATGTCAGCATTGATGATGATCAAGTAGCTTGCAAGCACCACTGTCAGGATGTGAGCTGAGTACCTGTATAAAAGAACACACACTATCAGATTAATATTTGAATAATACAGTGTTTTTTTAAATCTAAAATTAAGTGGGCTGTATGCCTGAGATATGATACAGTGTGTGTGTGTCAGAGCAGCCTAGACATGTTTGCCCTAAATCATTTTACTTATGGGTCAAATTCCACAACAAACATTTCACCTGTCTGTCTCCATTCTGTGCACTCTTATTGTCTACAGCCTCATTGTCTCCCTATAATTAAAAGCCTGTGGCGTTGCTAACATTCAGGGCTGGACCCTGAATGCTGTCTACTTGTCGGAAAAGTAGACAGTTTATAGTTGAGAACTCAATGGTCAACTACTAAAGATAGTTAACTATCACATATGTTCACTCAAAAACATGTTGGTAATCAAGGCGTGTTACTGACATGCGTGTTAAGGGAGAGGTGCAGCATCATATGAGAGAAGTCGAATGTGTCAGTATCATACTGTACCATCCAAAGCAGAAGATGAGAAAGGCAATGCCGAGGAGAGTGGCCACAGCGTGCCTGACCAGGGGATTGGCATGGCTAGGACTGAGGTAGAGACGAAACCAGAAGGCAGCAGCCAGGGCAAACAGCTGACACGCCAAAAAATTCACCTGTGTGGGAGACACAGAGATTAGGATGCTCAAATAATATTCATCTACATGTCCTGTTTTTTCGGTACTCCTATTATTATCATGCTGCAACCTGATGCAACTTTATAGCCTAATGAGTTTCCCCCCACTTGCTTCATCATCCTCAGTGGTATTATCAATTCTACAAGGATGTATAGTTTACCTGTGATATAGGTGAAGAAGACTTATCAAATTATAAATGTTAAAGAATCTAACTTTTGAACTTTGGCCTGCAAGTCTTCAGTTGCTAGTGCCATTTTTGGAGAGAAAACATAGAAATCCTCTCATCTCTACCATTAGGAACTGCGGTGTGGGCGTCGGTGACTGTTGGGAACTCACCGCATTTCTCTCCAACAAGTGGCACAAAGTTAATGAACAGGATATATATCCATTACACAGAGCACTATTTATGACTTTAAGTTGTTTCACGGTCAGATACTCCTACCTGATCAAGAGGAAAGCCCAAGATCTCACTGACAGGCAGCAGCCACTTGGATCCAGTGGTGTTAAACGCAGTGTCTGCGCGCTCGCCCATCCTACGTATTTTCCTCTGGCGACGCCTCAATGTTCCCGCTTATCTTTTTCCTTCTTTTTTTTTTAACTAACTGCTTACTATTTTCTGTGACTAGAATACATTGTTTGACGGAAATGCCCCGTGACAAGTCAAACCAGTCCACAGTATGATAGACTCCCTCCTCCTCCTCCTCCTCTTCGGCCTCAGTACCAGTGAAATCTGACAGAGACAGATTCAGAGCTCTTCCGGTCACTGCTTCCCAAAATAAAAGCCGAGTTGGCGAACGCGCAAAATAAGGGTTTAGACTATTTTAGCCTACAGCATACAGGTAATGTACTGTCTGTAGGGAGAAGCTTGTTATACAGTCAACTTAAAGACCTTCAACTATAAAAGGCAACGTTTAATTACAATAGGGCTAATTCTCATACTTTTTTTTTAATTTGTGTCCTCTTTTTCAAAAGTATCTTGTGCTTTTATTTTTAAAACAAATAAACTGAAGCGTGAGTGAACATGATATTTACTTGGGAACATTTAGCTAAGGTCATTATAATGTAACAAAAAAAAAAAAAAAAGACTTGAAAAAAATGTCACGTATTTCCGGTGTTATGCAGATTCTCGAGCTTGGCGCTACATGAGTTGACAAAGAGGATATGTGCCCCGGCTGTAGGCTACTTAAAATGAGTGTTTGATGGGGACTCTGGGTGACGGACAACAATAAAGTGTTTGATTAGGTTATTCAAAGACTGAAATCGCTTTTGATGCTCTGTGGTAACTAAAGTAAAGTTGTGAATAGAAATATATGATAAGAAGACATCTCCTGCTTCCTCAGCGTTTAGATGTGAGGTTGCCCAAATCGTATTTTAAAACTGATGAATTAGTAGGCTATGTGTGTGTTGCAGATATTATGAAGGTCATCTGTGAGGCTCTTTCCACAGAGACCAGGACGCCTTGCAGAGAGGGGGGATATATATTTGTTAATTATGGTGCAGTCTAAGCTGTGAGTCATAATTATTTGCCCAAATGTCAAGTTTTGTCAGTGGCTCCCTGGAAACGTACTGTGCACCTTTTGAGACCAAAGGGTGACCTTTAAAGTGAGACACCAGCTATGAATGTTTGTGTTTCCTTATAATAAACAATTAATGTGGCATTTAATTGATTCCCATGAGTGAATTTTCTCCTTTTTTGTACCACTCAAAGGGTCAGAGGTCAGGAGCAGCTATAAAGGCCCATGCTGGGTCTTAAATGCCAAAGGTAGCCTCTAGTGCGCTTTATTTCTACTTGTGGTCTGGATCATGTTGAAACATGAAACATGTTTACTTTGAGTCAAATAATGTCTATGGCATATACTGAAAATTGGAAGCACTGACCAGAAACAAAGAAGGAACTAAACAAATAAATCTGCCACTGTTTTAAAGACAGACGTTTGTTTACATGACCAGAAGAGAGCAGGACATGTGCCCAGTGGTTTCAGTCGGCCCATATTCTGAAAGTTACATATAGATCACAAAGTAGATGTGCAGGAAACATACTGCACAACAACAAACATGATACTGTTGAAGTTCGATAACAATATTGATAAAATACAGGAGTAAAATAGAGAAAGATTCATTCTGTATTTTGATTTGGTGTATTTAGTATTGCCACCTTTTCTCTCCACTGCGTGTGCCAGCTGGTATAACTCTGATCTGCAATCACATCACCCTGTTCTCTCGGAGGAGGTCAGTATTTAATGCCCATTCTCTGTTATAAAGGGGGGCAGCTAACATCATGACAGGGGCAGCAGATGTATCTCTGCTCCTGTTGCAAACTTGAGAAAAGATACACATCTTGTGGCATTGACTGCATCAGTACAACAATACAGATCAAATAATATCAAACTCAAAAGTTGAATCTGAATCAGAAATACTTTATTGATCGCCGGGGGGAAATGTGTTCGTTCAGTTGTTCCACTCACACAACGTTAAAGAATAGTACTTATAACACAATATATAGAATAGAAGGAGGCAGCAACAAACAGGCAGCATAATATACTATATTATTTTGAATATAATACAAATATTATTATAGTGGGACTAAATCTGGACCCGTTTAGTAAGTAACGTTACATGGTCGTGTTTCTGTTCTACTCTCGGTTGCCTTAACAACCACTTCACCCGGCTCTTAAACACAGTTGGTCTGTGGCGCCACTCTGCGTTCTGTCGGGGAACACGCAAGGCGTGACAGGTGACGTCGCCTGTTTACAACTGCCAATGAACACGTGGCACACTGAATGCTGAGCTACCATTGGTCGACACGGCGGTGATGTGGGTGGGGACTCTACTCCGAAGGACCAATGGCGTCTGGCATGTAAATTCCGTTTGAAACTTTCCCGGGAAATCTGAGTTTCGCGGGAGGGCTCTTGAGCGCGTAAACCGTATCCCTTCATTCATCAGGCCGTTTCCTGAAGCCATTTCTAGACGGGGGAAACGAGAGTCGCGCTACTTTTTAATCCGTTGCATCTGCCTAAATGCACCTTCTTAAGGAAAAATACTTTAGAAAAGTCGATGAATCAGACTCTCATCTTTACTTCGGTCTGATTATTTTTGTAACTATTGCGGCGGATTAATAGCCATACGGGCTTAAAAGTACAGAGACAAGAAAGGGGTTACCCCGAATACGCAAGATGAGAAGAGGGATCTCCTCGGCTCCGGACAAAGTGATTTTAGCGGGGGTTGGGGGCTCTTCTCTGGACAACAATATCATTTTAACAACTCTCTCGGATCGTTTAAACCCTGGTCAATCCAACGCTACGTTTATCCAAATAATAACCACCCCACCGCCTTGCAACGTTACACAGACATCAAATGTGTGTTTATCCGAACCTCAGATAAACAACATTTACACAACTCCACAACAAGCTGCAGCAAACGGAGCAGGACAACGACCCGCTCTGGGGAGACCGCCGGTAATCTTCATACAGCTCGTTTAACACATCTGGCTGCTACAACTAGCCACAAACACGACAAAATGTTAGCCTGCTAGGCTAGCCCAGCTTGTTGTTCGGGCAGCTAACGCTAGCCGCTTAGCCAGGGCATTCCCACGACTCAACCTAGCGAGGTGGCTGACTAACTACCGCTAGCTAAGTTACACAAGTAGGTTGGTTGGGTGTTTCGTTGACTGCAGGGCAGCGAGCGATGAGTTTAAGTTAGTTTTGCATTTACAGGAGCGCAGGTCTGTCCTATGTAGCGTGCTATGCTAAGTTCATGGTGCTTTTGAGTCCGCTTCACCCCTTTGCAGCCAGATGGAAACATTGGTAAGAGATGTGTAACGTTAGCGGTGGCCTAGTGGCTGCTGTTGGTGTCTTAATTTGGGGGTTAGGGGGTGGGGGGGATTGCTGGGCTCCTTGGCTCTTAGTTAGCCATTTTTTTTAGCTTTCTAACAAGACACGAGTGGCTAAACTTGCAAAGACATGGGCTTGAACGTAGCTAAAGCTTCACTCCAGTTTTGAAACTACTCGGTAGATATTAATCCCAGTCGTCTGTGAACATGCAAGCCAAGTTGGATGAAGCTTGACAATGTGTGTTAGCTTTCAAAGCTAGCAGCAGTATTGATTATTGGGGACAACATCACACGTTGTCGGCCTTGACCTTAATTTTTCACAAGTGTTTTATGTCCCTCTTTGTAAATAAAGTGTAACGTTATGGTGCCTTTCATGCCAAGTAAAGTGAAACTCGAGTTTGTTGCTTTAGTGCTGACTGCACGTTTCCTGTATTCTCAACCTGCACAAACCACACAAAATAGTTTCTGCAGCATTCAGGGTGTTGGTTTGTTCCTGGCTATTCATCTCTCATGAACTAAACCAGCCTCTGTATCTCAGGCTGTAGCCATGACCAGGCAGGGGGTGAGGGGGAGCTGCTTGCTGATATAAAATGGCTGACATTTTGACTGTCAACAGAGGGCATATTATTCTTTCTCAGACATGGGCTAGATTAAGTGAGATAAAGTATCACATATGGGGTTTACTCTGCTTAAAATACTAACTATATTTCCTGAGGGTTAGTTGACATATCCCCTACACAGGGTTTAGAGGGAAATGCAGTGGACCAGCACCCTAGTACTGGTGTGTTGCTCAAAGACACTAAAACAGGTTGGGTTCTTGACAACACAGAAGTCCAAGGGGTTTCCTGGTTGAAGAGGCTACTCACTGAGCCACCATACCATGCGTGGCTACCAACAGAGACTATGACTATAAGTGTTGTTGAACACAGCCTAAATCGACTTAAACATGGTGTCAAGTACTACAGTTGTCACAAATGGTCCACTATTGCTGAAACCGTAGGAACATTCTTCACCTTTGTCAGTGCTATAATAGAAGGAATTGGTTGGGACAGGTTAGGCATTGACAACTTTGAAGTTAACATGAATGTGCATGTAGGTGGTTAAAATTCTTGATTATTTCCAAACACAGTAAGAGCCCCAACCGCTGTTCAGAAAGGGCATTATTATTTGATTGGTTAGGCTACAGAAATGTATTCCATGTTTGGACAGTAGGTTGGGATGTCCTTTTGGCAATATTTTAAGTGCCTGGGTTAGTTCTGGTGCTTGGTACACACTGCAGTGGTTTTCTTTGTGCAGCAATGTGATCATGCCAATAGGTGTGACTCACTCTTAAATTATGTGGAGAGTTGAGAAAAGAAGGAACTGGTTTTGCACCGACATGGTTTCTCCCCGATTCACTGGGATTTTGACAAACACACTCCTAAATGTTTTTGGACTGCTTGACCTCAGAAACTCTGAAACAAAGTATACTCTTTTTCAAAACTAAAATGGAAAAGACAACGAATGATGTCGTCAGATTTCAGAAGGAATGCAACACTGAAATTTGCACAGCAGGTGTACAGGCAATTTATAAACCTTTTCATTATTCAAGCAACCTTCCTCATTGTATTTATATTAACTTTTGACATTGTACGCATGCTTTAGGACATTGGTGCTGACTGATGCTGGAGACACATAAGATGAAAGTAATGATACATGTAGCATCCGACGTAATTTGTTGTGAGGTGGCTTCAAAGATGAGATGCCTGCCAAGTGACCAATAATGCCTTTATCTCCTGTTAACTATTGTTTTGTCCCCCTAGGCTAAAAGGCGGTTGGCGCTCGATGATTCAGACCACCAGTACCAATCGGAACCAGTCAGGACTCCAAGAGGCAGAGGCGGGGCCGCGGCGGCCAATGGGGCAAGGCTAAAGACACCCAGAAGTAAGCAGCAGAAGGTTACAAGGAGCACTCTGCCATCGGTTTTTACATGAAACAGAATTATACAGCACAAAGATTTGGGGTCATCAGGTGATCCACACCAAGGTTCATTCACAGGAACAGCCTTGGAGCAGCTATACAGTTATCAGAAAAAGTACATGCTGAGTACCATATTCTCTATGCTGAGTACATTGAGCTGAATACATTTGACTGGCTTTTCTCTGCATGGTAGTACTGTAATTTTAAAACGGATTTGTCATATGTCAATGTTAGTAAGTAAAATAAAAAAAGCCATTAAGTTGTCAAAAGTGACATGTCATACCAAAGCATATAACAGTTTAAATAGTAATCCCTTAGGTTTCACTGAAAGGACACAAAAAACAAATATTTTGTCCTGCATACACACTTTTCACACAATACAAATCCTTACTTCTTTTCTAATTGCTACCTGAATAATTCAAATTATTTAGTTGAGGCTAATCAATGGATATGCCCCTCCAAGGTGGCCCTTAATGTTCTGTTTACTCTTTGCACGTGTTTCCTGTACGGTCTTCTAAACTACTATATAGTTGGACCTTGAAACCGAAAGAAAATCTGTACATTAGTTGTATTCATGATATATGACCTTTACCGCAGTGTTACCGCAGTGTAACCACAGGACGTGTTGGACGGTGAGACAGGTGACATGCTGTGGCCCTGTGCTCTTAAAATGCTTTAACCCTGAGGAAATGATGTCAGATCAATTCAAATGAATTGTATTTATATAGCCCAAGATCACAAAATTGCCTTAAAGGGCTATAGAATCTGTACAGCGTGATACTATCAAAACAGAGCTATTGATATTGAAAGTCTAGCTGATAACTATCTAACTCAGTGTTTTGAGTGAAATGTTTCCAACCTCTTCATGTAAATCCAACATACCCAGCTGATTATGACTGATTGAGTCAGTTGTCCCATTGACATGACATTTGCTAAATTTTTACCAGCATTGTGATGTGTTTCAGCATTAATTATGCCACACCAATTTCCTAAAATGACTACGAAGTTGAATCTAAATCTTTTTGGCACAGTCACGGCACAAACATAATATACCGGTAAGTGCAATCCATATAGCATTTATTGCAGGGTGGCTGTGTTGGATTTGTTGAAATTGTACTGTTGTACCTATTATTAACTTCCTCTAGCACCTCCTCTGTTGCTACTACTGCTTTTTGAAGTAACGGAGAGTATAGGAGTCTTGTGATTGGGTTGTCCTTTTCACATTGTGGATGAACCCACTTACTCAAGGCTCCTGCTGACAAGTAAAACTGTTATTAGGACGTTTTGTGTATAACTTCTCAAAAATTCAATACCAAATATAATGCTGAAATACATTGTACTTCCCCTTTTTTCTCTCTGTTCCTCCTACTTTTCCTCCACCATAGCGCCTAAGTCTCCACCAGAGAAGACTCGCTATGACACCTCCCTGGGCCTGTTAACAAAGAAGTTTGTGGATCTTCTTGCTCAATCTTCTGATGGCGTTTTGGACCTCAACCTCGCTGCTGAAACCTTACAGGTAATTTCGGAGGCAAACTGAAAAATCCCCATCAGACACTGAGGGGAAAAAAGGGGGCATAATTGGTCGTAGAATGATTGTATAAAGAAAAGCTACCATGTAGCTAATACACTTCTTACTTAAATCCTGTTAATGATGATCAATACCAAGCCTGGAAATAAAAGGGAGGTAAAGGAACATCTATAAGGGTCATCTTAAATATATATGTTTAAAGTTTTGGATACTGTTATGGATTGTTCTTTGCTCTGGTTGATAATTTACACTTGAATCGCCACTAAATGGGTAACTGATGAGCTGTGTGTCCTCTACATTCAGGTGCAGAAAAGGCGCCTGTATGATATCACCAATGTCCTAGAAGGCATTCACCTCATCAAGAAGAAATCAAAGAACAACATTCAGTGGATGTAAGTGGTCATTCTGTCTTAATGTATTACTCAAATGCTTGGTTTTCATACTCTGATTGTAATTGATCCCATCATGAAGAAATCTGAGAGCACAGTGTAACATATTCCATTTCTGTTGGTTACTCCATGTTTCTGCCCAGTCCATCTTTTCTCCTTTCTTGTGTTTTGTACTCCCCCCTTTCCTTCAAAGCTCTCATAGTCCTATTCCAGACCCGGCCTATTTGTGCCCAGCTACGTTTACTTATGTTTCTACAAGCTCTATCCCCAGACACAGTTGAAAAATAATCATAGTTTGATGAAATTGCTGTACAAATAATAAAACATTTGACTAGTTTATGTCACAAAAAGAAGTTATTTAACGGTTTTGCAAGTAGAGGCTTTTTTAGGTCTCAGAAAATATTTCTTTGTTTATTTTGGACTGGTGTGGCAAAAATGTTATGAATGCTATTTTAGATCACTCTTCTTGTAAAATGGGCAAAACATTTTCAGTATTTTGACCTTCATTATTGTTGTAATGTGTAGTCCAAGTGTTTTACACATTAAACCTACAAATACTGCACTATATCTGTAGATTACAAGGGGACCTAGGAATATTTTTTCAAGTTTTCAAGTATTATCCTCTGCAATATCTGCTCACAGGGAATATACCACCAGTAGTATTGAAGTTTTGAAACATATCTGTAACATGCCAACTCCATGATACAGATGGCAATTAAAATAAAAGTGGGATTAAAGGTTTTTTGCTGTTATAGCTATTCTACCACATATTTGAATCCATGAGTTAAGAGACAGTAATATAGGGGGAAGCAAAAAGCCTGAGCCAGTACAAAATCTGTTTAAATTCACTCTCCTTTCTCTTCTCTCACTCACAGGGGCTGTAGTCTGTTGGAGGTAGAGGGGGCACTGAGCCAGAGACAGAGACTTACAGCGGAGGTTTCTGCGCTGGGAGAAGAAGAACAGAGACTTGAACAACTTATCCAGAGATGCAGCCTGGATATGAGACACATGAGCGAGTTGCCAAGCAACCAGAAATATCCTTTTGTTGTTAGCTGACATGACATTCAAAAGCAAAAATTCTTAGCTACCCTATTAAAACCTCTGCAAAGTCTGCAGGTAAACATTGCCCAATTGATGGCTGTATTATATTGTCTGTATGCATACATAGTGTGATTCCTGGCTCATAGTGAGCCAATGGTGATAACTCAGCAGTGACCTACTGAATTTTAAAATAGTTCAGTCAGTAATCAGTTCAAAAACATACCAGATCCAAAGCTGATGTGCTTCATCTTCCAACTCTGTCTTTGGAGGACCCTGTTATGACATTCACATGCCACATAAAGCAGGTCTTTTTTACATTATGGAACCTAAAATATTAAGTAACTCGCCTTGCTTACAACACCAGCATGTAGATGCATGCTACTGCAATCATTTGGAAATGTTTCATCATGGAGTGAGCATTGTGAAGCTTGTATTTACATGTATGTTCACTGTTAACTTGTACTGACCATGTAGTGTTATTTCTTTAACCATTTCGCCTCCACATATGCCTATGTAACGTACCAAGACATCAAACAGCTGGGAAACCTCAGGGACCAGACTGTTATTGTCGTCAAAGCGCCCACAGACACCAAACTAGAAGTACCAGACCCTGATGAGGTATGTGTACAAGCAGAAAAACACACAAGCTGGGTCTGTCATTGTTGTCCTGATCATCTTCGTGCTCATTTGTCTTCTGACCTATGACCTGTATTTGCCTTACTGTTGGGCATTTGTTGAAGTTGACTTCTGATCTTAGGCAGATGATATTAGTATGAATAATCATGTGTTGTGATGGTTCTATGAAATGCTAGCCTGGAATATTAATTCAGTCTGAATGGGGTTTATAACGTAAGGCAATTTTTTTCTGCCTGCTTCCAGTCATTATACTAAGCAGACTAACTTGTCCTGGACCTAACTCTGTGCACATATTGACATCAAATAATTTCTGACTCAAGCAAGATGCAAATCAATTGCATTTCTTTACACATTGGCGGAAGTTTGGCTTCTAAATGAAAAGCTGACGGCTTCACAAATGCTTTGCAGTGTGAAAACTGACATGGTGCAGTAAAGTGCTGTAGAGACGCTAATAATCTGTCCAGCCACCTGTTAAAAAGTATTTCTTCTGACATGAATGCACCAGCTGTAGAGGTTGCAGCTAGTTTAGGTGACCCCTCTAGAGCTGGTGTTGCTGATTTGCTTTCCCAGGCTTTCTGCGACGTCCTCTCAGTAACTAAAGGTCCATAGCTAAATGTATTACATAAATGTTACCAGTTTATTATGTACAGATTAAGTATTTTTGGTGTATACACAGCACATTAAGTTTAGGGCATGTGGAATGGAGAATCTTTCAATGGACTTTGCCCGTCCTTCTAATCAACCTGTCAGGTTGTTTTTTTAATTTGAACTCGTTATTTGTTTTCCCTCTCTCCAGAGTTTGTCCATCCATCTGACCAGTTCTAAGGGTCCTATTGAAGTCCTTCTGTGCCCAGATGAAGAGAATGACCCCAGGAGTCCTGTAAAAAATGGCAACATGGACATAAATGGGAACTCGCCTTTCCTCAAAGTCCTTCAAGGTTTGTCAGACAGACATAGGTGTGCAGCAGGTCTTTACATCAAGGGTCTTCTTTTAACTTTCAGATTCAGTGTTGCAGACATAAAAACACCGGTCGAGTGTAGACTGGGTCATCACAGGCGCCACACATGGCTTACATTTGCGTATATTTGTAACTAATGGAAGTTTTTATTTATTAAGATAGTTGGTGACATCGTCTAAAGCATCTTTGTTCCCATGCAGTTTCCTGCAGATGTGTTGGGACGCGCACTTTCTGGCAAGGGGAGTGTCTGTTCAGCACAGGGTCCTTTGATGCATATAGCGTTAACACACTCATGTGTTGGCATATGGTTTTACCTGCTAGTGGTGCTAAATGAAAAGTCTGGGGATCGACAAAGTCATAGGTTTCATGATCTGGTCTATACCAAATTTAATGGCAGACGAACGACATTGCCATTATTATGGCTGTAGAGGTGTATGTTTTTTTTTTTTCTTTTTTTCCCAGACCCCAGTAAAAATACAGATGTCTACAACATTGGAACAGTTCTCCAGGCTTGAAGGGGCTAGCATAACAAAGCTAAAGTGAATGGAAACCAGTCTCGCTGATTAGATTTGATTAACTGTGGTAATGATTAATTAAAAAAAAAAGCTTAATGCAAGCTCTGTTAAATAAACATTTATTTGTGTTCATGCAATCTTTGGTTCCAATCCCTGACTCACTGGTAGATAGGCAACGTAAATCTATTTCAAATCAAAGAAATTGAACAATCTGTGATTAGATTCTGAAAAGTGTTTTTCAACAGTTTGTGGTGTAACAATGACTAACACTGGTCGACATGGCTACGTTTTGTCCTACAAGGTCTGATTAAGGTTCGTTGGCTATGTGGATATATTAACTAGTGATGTTTTCTTTCACAGATCCCAGCTGCACAGCCACTTCTCTGAGCCCCTGCCTGGTTCCACCTTCCTCTTCCTCAGCTGTTTCCGTCACTACTCTCTCGCCCATCTCGTCTCCTTACACCAGTCTTCTCCAGCAGACAGAAGACCAGATCCCCTCAGCCCTGGGGCCTTTCTTAAACCTTGGACCTCCTCTTCTGGACCAAGATGACTACCTTTTAGGTTTGGGAGATGACCAGGGAATCAGCGACTTGTTTGATGCCTGTGACTTTGATAAAATGCCGTCTCTTGGCCTGGATGATCTCCTTTGCAGCTAGCATTAGGTAATAGAAATTCAGATTAAGTGCATGGGACAGACATGGAGAATCAGTGAGGGTCTTGATGCCTGTGACTGACTTTGTAGTTAGTTGAAGCCAATTCTAAATAGATGGAAAGGAAACATTGAGGGCTTTTTCAGTCCCAATGGGACTACATGCCATTTTCTTTCATGGTGTGAGAGCTAAATGGTCTTGCATGATTTCACACAGACACGTCTTCAGTGTGAAGAAGTATCCATTACTCTTTGTCTCAGGCTATGTACGGCCTCCAGTGTAGCTGGACTTTTGGGACATCTAAAAGCCTTTGCCGTCTGTTTGGTCAAGTATAAGCGGTGTGTGATGCAAGGTTTACGTCACTGTATAGCGAGACTAACAAAGACAGAACTGCTTGAAGGGAAACACCACCACACCACCTGGCATTAACACACATATCATGGGTGATTGGGTTGGGTTTAGTATGCAAACCATGGTCACCCAAAGCCATCAGTAGAATGCTCAACAATGGGGAAAGAGCTCAAGAGCAAAAAAAAAAAAAAAAAGGTTACTTTTTAAATCTTAAATAATCTAATGCAAATATTTTATTTGATGGGCCTGTAAATTTGTGTTTTGTGTCTATGTTCATCCAGTTAACCCATCCTTAGACATATCCTAGAGTTTTAACGTGTTAATGCCAAGTGCTGTGGGGGCTGAGAGACATTCTCAATGATTGCATTCTATTACACCAATGATCTGTGATTGAAGGCTCATAATGCTGGCTGTTAGTCTGTTCAAATGTAGAAAATTTTAGAAATTAAAATGAATATAAAAAGAAAACAGGGAAATTTGGTGCACAGCATTCATGACTACAGTTATTTTACAGTAAGGACACTTGTCAGGGTACCTTTTGTGCTATTTGGGCTTATAATCATAAAGTTAGTAAGAGTATGAGTATTTTTTTGTACATTTTAGGTCCGAGCTGCATGGAAGTCCATATACTGTTTTGGAGTGCACATGACATAATTATCCAATTATAAAGGAAGTGTACAACATATTTACAGTATGCCTTATGATCCCCTGCACACAATTAGTTGTCTCTTGCACTATTTCCTCCATTTTTGGAGGATAGGTGAAATTTATAATGTTCATGATATCAACCAATAGTCATACTCTTATTCATACTTTGTGAATTCAGGACCCAAACTTCCCCTTTCTTGCTGCTTTTTGCCTATCCCCGCCATCTTCATCAGCAGAAGCTGCCATAACCAAACTTCCCCTAATGCCTCCTCACTTAGACTGTGTGCTGTGAAATTATACTGTGTGGTTTGAGCTAATTGGGAAAAAAATACTTTGAACCACTTATGCACACTGCCTTCCATGTGTGTACTGTAGGAGACAGGATAGGCACGGAATAGTCTTTTTAGGATTAATGAGTGTTGAATTTTAATTGATTTTTAATACTGTAGAAATAAGTGATGATATCACGGTCACCTAAGCAACAAGAGGCCAGATAGCCACTCATTTAGGCTTTAGTATGTAATGAAAGGGCTTTTTTCCTCTAGGATAATTAAAGGCTGAGAAAAAGGAAAAAAAGTCAAATAGACCTGTTTTGTAATTGGGGCAAATTCAGTGCAACCAAGCCATGTTTCATACTGGGGCTGGTAACACTGTCATGTGTTGTTTTGTTAGAGCTACAGCATCCTCAAACAGTGGTTAATCAAGAAAAGCCAGGTAGAGAGACTGGGTGAACTAAGAGCTGTAGGATTATGATTTTGTTTTCCTCTCTAGGTATTTGAATCTGCTGTTGACTCAAAATAGCTTCTTCTGTCCGATTACATCCCTGATAACAAAATGCAAACATCTTGTCTGAAACCCTGTCTTTTAAACTAGAAGAACCTGCGGCCGCAGGTAATATTGCTGCTGTTAGTGTTAACTTTTCCTCAATCTGATTGATGTGCGCTTGAGTAATAACGTGTGCAGCATGTGTGAGTTATGTTAGAGATCAAGCTTGCTAAAGAGTAAGCCTGCCATGTGTAAATTGATGTACAGTTTTCTAAATTTTTCAGTGCACAAGGTACTGTAGGCTACCTCCCACTTAATGTTGGACATTAGTAATAGGGCATAGAGGTTAATGCCATAGTGTGTATGAGTTTTTGAAATTCCCTTTTGTCATAAAAAAAAATGACCCTTGGATTATTTCGAGGTGATGTTGGATATTACATCACACTTTCTCTTTTGGTGAGTGCGAGATCCCACTCATGCCCCGATATAATAATGAGTATGCTTTTGCTCTTAAACCAGTCTCATGCATCTTTGAATAATGGGGCGCACATTTAATGGATGGAAAAGCAGACAAATGTATTGCAATATATTTTTGGGTTTTGTTTTTTCAATATTTTCTGTAAGTTATTTAGTTCGTTTGTCAGTGTTTTTTTTTTTTTTTTGTAATGCAGAGTTTCCCTTAGACCCAAAACGTAGTACACATTTAATAATGCATGCATGCAGTCATTCATTCACAGCCTATCTGCCCTTTACTGTTCATTAGTCAAATTGCTATGTCTGTATACACCTCTGAACCAGGATCAGTGGTTTGTGTCCTCTGTTGAAGTGTGTAGGGGGCTTTGCTTCTGTGACACTGTGTGTCCGTTTTATTTTTGGAATGTGATGAGGGAGTCTGTCCCGCTTTTCTTTCCTTATTTTGTTTTTTTTTAATGCATTTCTGCCAATTTCACTTTGATGGAGAGTATTGAAGCGTGTTAAAACAGCATTTGACTTTGCAAAACCAAAACTCAATTGTTAATCTGAACTTCACACATTAAAAACATACAGTTTCTTGATCAACCTAACTTAGCTTGATAAGTGCTGCTATCATAAGTGAACTTAATTTGACTTAAATGCACAGCAATTCTCTGATTCACACAGTTTCCCTCTGGGCATATTTATACCAGTGTATTTTATATGTATTTATGGAACAGTCGAGCTCAATATTTTTCCCCATTTGGTTCACGAACTACAGTTGTGCTATTTTGTAAGATCATTGACATAGGTAATTATATTTTCCTCCATCTATTTCAAGCGACCAGAATCTGGTCACACTATTTTATCCACTTTTACATGATGGAAATGTGGTTTTTGGAAAGATTGTACCTTTCCATGAGTTTGTAATGGAGTGTGAAAGATTTTAATGCATCGCTAAAGCTAGTGTAATTGCCAGTGAGTCTGAAAATGTATTGGGTAAAATTACAGCTCCTTCTAATGTGTGATTCTGATGTGTGATTAGACCTTACAGAAAGTTATCATTAGGCTAAATGTGGTGTTAACTATAGTCAAGATTGAAACAGCACTGTCTTTCCTGCTATTTTCCTATGGTTATACTTAAGCTGTCACCAAATACAATATACTGATCAGTAAATATTCTTTAAAGGTTATGTGAAAAGTTAACTATTTGATAGGAAATAATTGACTGTAAAATTATAATATTGCTGCCTGTTTCCACTAATTACAGAAAAAAGAGCTGTAATATCACTTTTTTGCAATTTGAACGCATGGGTGAAAGTATCAGTGTGCTGTTGAATGTTTAAGGTAAACTAATGTGATGATTTTTGATGAGTGGTCAATTATACAAGTTTCTTTAACATTTGTTAAAGAGGTAATATGGAGTGGTATTGTTTTGGGGGGGATAAATGGATTTGTTTTTTGTACTCTGGGTGTTTGTAATTTGAAAATTTGAATAAAGGCAATATAAATATGGAAAAATGAATATGTTTCATTTGTGATGTCTTTAGGGGATGATTTTGCACTGTAGTGGAAAGTAGGTACAAGGAAAACTCAGTAAAAGACCACATTGGTTGTCTGTACTGCTGAAATACAAGATCAACTACTTTAAAAGCATAATTTAAAAAAACACGCCAATATCCTGAATCATCTACGCACTGCTCAGATTAGTAACATACCTTAAATCAAAAATGGTCAAAAATAATGTCTTGGGCGCTCCCCTAATGTGTACACACATTTAACACGTGTCTAGTTTGTCCCTCTTTGCCTACCGTATCTACGCACAAGTATGGCGGCCTAAGAGTTGTGACAACTGTTTTGATGGTGTAAAGAATCGTTTTTTCCATTTCTAAAACATCCTTTCCTCGGAATTCGTGTTTATTTGAACTAATAAGCACATTGCGACTCAGGTAAGGGCTTTCTACAGTGTCTTCATGTGTCGGCCTGTCCATAACAAGGGACACGTGGGTAGTAGCTAGCTGCTGAGGCTAGCCGAGCTAATAGCTTAGCTGTTAACAGTTGGTAGGTAACGGTCGAATTAATATTAGTATTAACTTGTTAATTAATTAATAATGTTCACTGGGGTTTCTCTTTGTATCAGTCAGCGGTTGTGTTGGTCACCTAGCTCATGTATGCGGTTAACTTGTAGGTGAACGTCGGGTGGAAATAAGAAAATATTAACGTTACATCTTTAAGTTAATATCGCTTTAAGATAATAATTAACCATAATAATTAAGTTCACTTCAAACAGTTAATGTTAAGCTACGCAGTTAGGTATTAACGTTAGGTGTTAACGTTATGTTAATGTTAGCTTTTTATATAATTACTGTCAATGGACTCGTATGGTTGAGTATTTTGAGGTAATGTTAGTTAGAAAAAACCTCAAAGTTTGTCGTATGAACCCTGAAAAAATTTATTTTACTGTGTCAACTTAAGTCTAGTAACGTTACACTAACGTTAGTTAAGTTACGTTTATTGAGTGCAGACATAAACGTCTCAGAAGTTGGGTAGCTTTCTGATCAAGTTTTCTTTTAACGTTACAACTCGTGTAGCTTGATAGCCTTCTTCTGTGGGGTATTTTCAGTCAAAGAGGAATACAGTTGAATAATAAAATACATGTTTACACTGTAGAGAAAGCATATAAAGCTAAAATAATGCACTAACAGAGAGAGAGAGACAGTTGAATCTAAACTTCATGTCTTGATGACAATCTGTTGGTAAGTATTACTTTCTCTGTATGTGGGATGGGCTGATTGACTCAGGTGTGTCAGTAGACACAGGTGCTCAGCCTGTATTAATCAGCATGACTGTCATATACTCTCTACAGCTTAGGCAGGATTTTAATAACAGAATGGCATAATAAATAATAAATTAACATTGTCTTTCATTACAAAATGATTCTAACATCACCACAACAAACCAGCACGTCCAAACATCCATCCACACACTGCACTATGTATATCTGGAGGTATTTTTGGTCAAAAACAAAAATATTTAGTTAGTTGCAGCCTTATTAGGTTATTGCATCGCTGTGGTAAACTCTTTTCATCTAAAGCTGCTCCTTGTTTGACAAATACATTGTTTGTTACAGTTGCAAGCTAAAGGTAAAATGATGGCGGTATTATGTGACATTTGATCTTACTCTTAATCAAGTTTGTTATCATTCATTCGGTTACAATTCATATATTCACACATCCTTATCCTGTTGCCCAGAGTTTTGGCATAAAGGAAGTGACAATCAGTGTATTTTAGAAAGTTTTTCATGTAATCATTCTAGCTTTGGTTTTATTAATCAATTATATTGTATCACATCATTGTGCTTTTTGTAATAAAAAACTAAATATCTTTGGTGAACAGGGTGTACTTTACCACTCAAAGTTCTCAGCTATGTCTCTCGAATACCGCTGTGCTGACCAAGGCGCTGTCTACTTTTCAGACCATCATGCCGTCCGCTTGTGACTCTCTGATTGAAGACATCGAGGACATGGTGTCTTCTAGCGATCCCACACCTCACGAGAGACAGTCTGCAAGAAAGAGTATCATACCGAGGTCCCGGAAGAAAAAAGAGCTGAACCATGAGGAGCTCCATGCTGACAGGTATGTCAGATGTTTGATACAACATGCAGGTTTGTTGTGTTATTGCTCCTGTATAGAATATGTTTTAGGCTGCTGATGAGAAAGTAAATTCTAAATTCCTAGTAAGTCACTTAGTAGTTGGATAAGTAGCAACTAGCCCCTTATGTTTAACATTTGATCAGTTTCATTTTAGTAAGTTTAGTCAAAGAAGTGTTCAAGCAAAACATTTCAGACCTGCATTTTCATAGCTTGTTGCACATGAGGGTTTTTTATTTGGAAAAGAAAGAAAGACCAGTAACACACCTGTAGTTTGGCTCACTTGGTCTAGACCAAAGAAAAATGTAATGTATTATTGCCTTGTAGTTCTTATTACACATGAACTAAGAAAGGTAAACCTGAAGGAACAGGTAAGTCATTCATTGTCAAAGAGTAGAAAGAGGATGGCTACGAGAAAGAAACGGAGGGAGAAGGGGAGGCGGGCGGTTCTGAGGGGGTCAAACCCACATTCGTAAGGGGAGAGTTTTTCATGGTCGGGGGTCATTTGGGGGAGTCAGAAGGAAACAACTGCCAGGATAATAGAGAGGATAGTGGCAATAGCAATTATTGTAGTAATTAGGTTCATTATCTTTCCTTGGATTTTAACCAAGACCTGGTGATTTTAGTACTAGAAAGATTATGATCCTCATCAGTAGTTTGAGATGTAGAGGAATAATAATTCCTTCACTGCTCTGTGTTTTATATTTAACTTCATTCATGACACATACACCTCATGAAGAAGTAATTGCTTGATGGTGAGCATTGTTACTAGAGTTTGGCACTGGACTCACGTCATGAATGATGCTGGACAGGTAAAAAACAGATAAAAAGAGGCATCTCGCAGTAATATTACAGGGGGTCATTAATAGGGGATTATTTTATGTTTCACTCACTTTTTATCGGAGAACTGCTAAAATTGTACAATTTTACACACAAGCCTAACACCTCAGTTTTAACTCCTTTTCTCCTTCCCATGAGGCAAAATGCCCAATATTGTATCTAATATCACAAATGCGGTGATTTGTCCGCTATACTTTCATACTACAAACAAACCTCACCAAAGCCTCCTCATCAGTGGATCTTTTGATTGGTTTTATGGCAGGTTTATTAAATAACATTCATTTTGTTATTTCCACACCTCCACATAACAAAAACATATTTCGTTGTTGTTAATTTTTAGTTTGATACCTGGCACCCAAAAAATCTGGATGAAAACGTGGGGCTGCAGTCATAACAACTCAGATGGTGAATACATGGCCGGACAGCTGGCTGCCAGTGGATACAAGATGACGGGTAAGAGATCGTTTAATTGTGGTGGTGTGTAATATGGCCATTGACAAGGTCAGTGAATAACATATTACAAATGACAATATTAATAGAATGCTACTACAAATTGATATTAATAGAATAATACTCAGATAGAAAGATGGATGGATTTTAGACTGGATTGAAGACATTACAGCTAAAAGAGATCTTATAACTGATGTCATTATTATTATTAAACACAAGGGGGCAGTCTTGCCTTATAAGTAAGCTGTACCTTTTGTGATATTCTAGTGGGAGACTGAACTGAACTGAGCTTCCCGGGCTGTGCACTGCCCTCAACAGATGTAAAATTGTAAAATCTGTACGCACTTGTATGCCATTGCCATGTTAGCCATCGATAAGTGCTATTTATGTTTTGGCTTTCATGCTTTGAGATTAAGGATGCAGCACAATATAGACATGACTGACAGATGACTGATAATTAACATGGTCATTCAGTCTAATATGTTTTTATTTAATTGCATGTTCAAATAAGTAGGACCAAATGTGAAATCTAAATAAATAAATGAAAAAATCACAAAAGTAAACAAAACATTCTGTGATCATCTGATCCACGTCCTCAATACATACAAGACCTCTGTTGAGATTGAGAGAGTAGCCTACAGTATGTTTAAACATTGTTAAATCTGTACTCTGCCAAACCTCCCTATTTATGAAATATCCATATATTTAAACATAAACGTACACATGTTATATACATTTAAAGAAAACAACATATTTATATATGTCTGTAACGTGTATTTAGTGGGGCACTGTACTGTGGTGTTGCTGCAGGCTCTATCTTTATTTCTTTTTTGAAACTGCAGTGAAAGGTGTATATTCTGCTGGTATGATGTCAATATGACAAGCAGAGACCCTCAACTCGTGCAGGCAGTACTCTAACCTGTTAACATGGCCTCTGAAATAAAAAGATGTTCCACCACACACTGCAGAAGCAGGCAGTGTAAACTGGGCTTAAGATGTGATTAGTCAGGTTACTTTGTAAGATTGTTTGACAAAACTTCTATTAGTATACTTTTTTAATAGGACCTTTCATCTTTAGTCTGTGCATGTCTTTTGCATGAAGGCCAGACATATTATGAAATAGATTACCAAAGGTCTTTAATGAGGGACTGTGTGTGTGTGTGTGTGTGCACACAGGTGAGAGAGATTGATAAAGAAAAAGCAGTGTGAGACAGTGTGTGGGATTGTAGTTGTCAGTTAAAATGTATCTTTTGAGTATTATAGTCAAACAGTTGCTGTGTGTGTGTGTGTGTGTGATATTGTTTATCACAATCATAGTGAAAAGTGAGTTCTTGTGCAAGGTTATGTGTGATTTGTTTTACAGTACCTACACACTGACAGTGTGGTGTGTTTGTATTGTACTGTGGGTCTTACTGTATGCAGTATCTCTTTGTGTGTGTGAGAGAGAGAG